TGTATAAGATGCACCTTTTTCCCTCAAAAAAGATGGTGAAAATCTGGGTGCATCTTATACACTGAATACAGCATTTTTGGCCTGCTGAAACCCTGCCCCCTTTGCAAAAATGGCCGTGCATAACCTTTAGGAAGCTTGTAGAGTGCTCCTGGGGGCTGGGGAGGGCAAAAATGATCAAAAAATGGGCCTTTTTTGATCAATTTTGCCCCCAGCCCCCAGGAGCACTCTACAAGCTTCCTAAAGGCAATTCATGCCCTTTTTTAAAAAAGGCGTTTTTGGGAGGTCTGCAGAGTGCAAACCCTTTTTTTTATTTGCCTCTTCAAAATCTTGGTGCGTTTTATACTCTGGTGCGTCTTATACTCTGAAAAATACTGTAGTTTTCAAGTTCCTCTTGAAGGCTGCATGGTTGGCTGTGTTGCTTTTTTTTAAAAAAGCTTTAAGGTTGGATTTTAAAATGAGGCTACTACATCAATTTGGGCTGCCTGCTCCCTGAAATAAAATTGATTCGAAGCTAAGAACTGCATAAATAACGAACTTCAATGCCACCATTATTTTCATTTGCAGCCTCCGATAGGTTTTTCCTTCTTCAGGAGCTATTTATGACCCAAAACGAAAAAAAACATGGACCGCGTTGTTCCTTCTTTACGCGTGATTCCTCCCGCTCTTCTTCAGTCTTGCTAATACGAGATCCTGCTCTGGTTTTTAGGATCCTGAAAGGCTCCTTAGGTGGGAACGCCAAAACCGTGATGATTGCCTGCGTCAGCCCTTCCTCCTCCGACTTTGATGAGAGCCTGACTACTCTGAATTATGCCCGGTGGGCTCAGAATATCAAAAATTGGGCTGTGGTGAATTGTAGCAAGGAGGTGGAGCCTGTAGAAGCCCTGCAGCTGCGTCTCAAGAAGCTTCAGAGGGCCGTGGAACAGAGACACCGGTCCGAGACTCGCATCATCCACCGATCGGAGGTGGTGCCCATCAAGGGACACTTGGAGGAAAGCGTGGCTCGCTTACGAGCAGAGTGCAACCACTACCGGACTTGCACAGACGCCGCCTATCAGCTCTTGATGGAACTGCAAGGGGAGGGCAATTTGACAGAGGAACAGGGGCTCCAGGTGAAAGGCTGGCTCTGTGCGGTGGAAAATGGGGCAGGTGAGCCGAGCTTGACCTCCGGCATAGACAGCGGGATTGGGAGCACTTCGGCTGAGGAGCCGCACTCTAAAACTTCCAGTTCCAAGCTGGTTAAGATTCAGGTACTGTGGTGGAACCCCCAAATGAAGGGCAGGGGGGAGGGCATTTGTGGGAGGAAAGAGGCAGTGGAGTTGGTTGAAGGGAGGAAACATCTGGAGTCAAACTGTTAGGTCTATATCAGAGGTGGTATTCAGCAGGTTCTGACCAGTTCTGCAGAACCGGTGGCTGAAGTTTTGAGTAGTTCGGAGAACCGGAAAATACCACCTCTGGCTGGCCCCGCCCCCATCTATTCTCTGCCTCCCGGGTCCCAGCTGGTTGGGAGGAAATGGGGATTTTATAGTAACCTTCCCCTGGAGTGGGAAGGGAATGGGGATTTTGCAGTATCCTTCCCCTGCCACGCCCACCAAATCACGCCCACAGAACTGGTAGTAAAAAATTTTGAATCCCACTACTGGTGTATATCTATATATCTCTATATCTTTAAAAACCAGCCACAATTGGTTGGTTGCTACTTATTTGGGACACTCTGGTTTATATTTATTTATTTTTATATATCTGTCTATATCTACCTATATATTTATCTATGTCTAGTGTATATTTATATCCACCTGCCCTCACATCCATCCATCCATATCTATCTATCTATCTATCTATCTATCTATCTATCTATCTATCTATCTATCTATCTATCTAATCTATCATCTATCTATCATCCATCTATCTATCTATCTATCTATCTATCTATCTATCTATCTATCTATCTATCATCTATCTATCTCTTCCATCTGCCCACCTACTTACCTTCCTAAC